GTGGCTGGTGCCTTAGCCACTTGAGCCACAGGCGCTGAGCCGATTCTGCCTTTTAATTGCTGAGTTATATTCCATGTCATCATCTGAATAGATCAGGATTTATTAAGACACCTGCTGAATGACATCTGAGTCCTTGTCAGTTTTTGATCAGCCATGTGCTTTAGTTTTACCAGAACAGTCAGCCTGGATGCATTTCTCCTGCCAGGGCCAGTGAATGAGCACAGTGTTTCCACAGCTCAGCAGCTATATGCAAGCAAATGTTTGCATTTTGGTCACCTTCTTCTTGGGCTTCTCTCCCCCCGCTCCCCAGACACTCTGCTTCACCCCACTGGCCAGCCACTCTTTGGACAGTGTGGAAATGGACCCCCCAACCTGTGATAGGTACTGCACATATTTTCCCCAGTTTGTCATTTGCCCTTTGACCTCACTTAGGGTATTTTTTCAAGTAAGAACTTTACCCTCTTTGGGCCTCTGTTCCTTCATTTGTGAAACAAAGGGCTTATTCCCTGCAAGCTCTGAGTCCAGGACTGGTAAGTATGGTCAGGTATGAAGCAACTTTGTAACTGTGCCCATTCCCAACTACTTCACAGTAGACAAGGGTACAGGGGCACCATCATGGCCAGTTTTGTGGCTTTTCTTTCTAGATGGCTTAGGCTTTCATTTCTGGAGCTTCGTATCTCTCTGACCTCTGTTAGTGCTCTTCTCCACTGGGTCACTGTGCTCGGGCTGCCCCTGCCTTGTTGCGTGAACATACCAACTTCATTTCCATATCAGGCTCTCTGTACAGCTGGTTCCAATTCCTAAAGTGCTCCTTCTCTAGAGGTTCTAGAAGGTTCTTGTCTGTCATTCCAGTCTCAACTCACAGGTCACATCCTCAGAGTGGCCGTGTGCTCCTTACATGCACCCCTGTCATCTTGTCCCCTGCTCACAGATACCTGTGCCCTGCTCTCTGGCTGAGAGCCCCATCTCCTGTGATCAGAAGGTGAGCTCCTACAAGAGGGTAGGAACTTGCTTGTCTTTTTCAGTGCCAGCCCCAGGTCCTAGAGAGCACTTGGTGCCCATGGGGAGGCAAGAGGTTCTGAGCCCCGCGACAGCTCCACATAAGACAGGTCCTATGTGCTTGTCTTTGCGGCGTTTGGGTTCTGACAGACACACCACCACTCCTGTATCTGAGACTGAGATAATCAATCTTGGTGGGACCCAGAGACTATGAGTCTTGTAGATAACAGCTTGAGAGAGAGGCAGATACGTTCTCTAAGGCAGATGTTTTATTTACTGAAATGCTTTGTCTTTAAGCAGCATGGCCATTTCGAATCTTCTGAGGCCGAGGCATTCTTTAAGACATCAGATTAAAAATGAATCTAGGGCTAGGCGCCTGTACACAGTGGTTATGACACCGGCCACGTACCCTGTAGGGTGGCAGGTTCGAACCCGCGTCAGGCCAGCTAAACTACAACAACTGCAACAAAAAAATAGCCGAATGTTGTGGTGGGTACCTGTACTCCCAGCTACTTGGGAGGCTGATGCAAGAGAATCTCTTAAGCCCAAGAGTTTGAAGTTGCTGTGAGTTGTGACGCCAGCCATATGAGATCAAATGTTTGCATTTTGGTGCAAAGATTCTAAAACAATGAAAATTTAAATTTTTGACATAGTGTGACTCCATCTCAAAAAATAAAAATGAATCTAGGTCCATAGTCAGAAGCCCAGTTGTCAGAACTACATCTGAGCTATATATTACAACTCTTGTGTTGTTTGTCTGAAATCTTAAACATGTTTTACCGGGTTATTTGTAAATAATTCTTGGAGTTCCCAGTCTCCTTGGCAAGCTCTCCGGGGCCTCCGATCCTGGTCTCTAAGTCAGGCTAATTCACCTGTTAAGCCATGCTGCTGCCAGTTTTGGGTGGTTAGCTATGTTACCAATTTCCTTTTCATTCTCATTTCTCCTCCTGTCTACTTTTTAACCCTTTAGTCAGAGTATTATTTAAACATTCCTGACTCTATGATGACGATTGTTATTTTAGTTAAGTTAACACATGAAGCAGATCAGTGGGTAGAGAAAGGATGGAGTTCCAAGGGGCCAAGCAGACTTTGCAGGATGAGGGATCTGTTCTGTCTCTTTTCTGTGTGTGTGAGATAGGGTCTCCCTCTGTCACCCAGGCTGGAGTACAGTAGCATGATCACAACTCACTGCAATGGCCAACTCCTGGACTCAAGTGGTCCTCATCCCACAAGTAGCTGGGACTTCAGACTATGCCAGGATAAATTTTTAATTATTTTTGTAGAGGCAGGATCTTGCAATGTTGCCCAGGCTGGCCTCAAACTGGCTTCAAGTAATCCTCCCACCTCAGCTTCCCAAAGCGCTGGGGTTACACGTGTAAGCAACTGCATCTGGCCAGTTCTGTATCTTGACTGTAGTGGAGATTATATGTTGTATACAAATGCCAAAATTCATCACATTGTAAGCTTAAAATCGATGATGTTTTAAAATGTAAGTTATACTTTAAAGATAAAAAGAAACAACTTAAGTGTTATGTTTCCACACAAAGTAGGCACTTAATAAGTGAATAAGATAATAATTATGACCATAGTTAAAATATGGCTTAATAACATTTTAGAGTGGGCTTAGTTTTTGTCTGTGTATATGTAATTTTTTTTTTTTTTTTTTTT